CCCCGTTCCAGCTGTGGCAGCCCACGCGCCCAGATGTGCTGCAGGACGCGTTGTGAGCGCCCCGCTGCGCGCGTGCGCTTGGAAAGAGGGAGAAGGGTGGGCGCGCTCAAGTCTGGATGGAAGAGTCAGGGGTGCAGAAGAGAGGAGGAGGGTCCTGGTGGGTCTGGAGTGGGAGGGAGCGTTTGGGGTATCTCGTATGAGCTCCCCGCCCAGGGTCTGAGATGTGGGCTCACCTGGGCAGGGCGCCAGTAGATGTAGTTAGATCCGAGGGTCCTGGTGGGGGCAGAGTGGAGCTAGTCCCCACCCCAGGTGGATAAGAAAAGCAGTAAGAACATTACTTTGGGCCGGGGGTGGGGTGGGGGCGCTTGGAATGTTTTTTTGAAAAGCGGTCCCAGGTGCTGGGGCACTCACAGGTGCTTTAAGGCGTATCCAGCGCTTTCACAAATGGTATCTCCCAACACTTTAGCTAAGTACGCGTTGTAATGGCTCCCGTTTGTTTGTTTGTTTGTTTATTTATTTCTGATAAGAAAACTGAGGTTCAGGGAGGTTACATGACTGACCCACGGTTTCACTGCCAGCAAGTGGGGAAGCATAATTTGAACCCAGCTCTTCCAATCCGCCCCACCCCTCCCCTTGTCCTAAGACATGCATCTTCTAATACAGTGGTCAGCAAACTCATTAGTCAACAGAGCCAAATATCAACAGTACAACGATTGAAATTTCTTTTGAGAGCCAGATTTTTTAGAACTTAAACTATATAGGTAGGTACATTGTTATTAACTTAATTAGGGTATTCCTAAGGCTTAGGAAGAGCCACACTCAAGGGGCCAAAGAGCCACATGTGGCTCCCAAGTGGCAGTTTGCCCCAGGGTTCTAATACGTACATTGAAGCCTCCCCGTGATTGGCAGGTGAATGGATGGGATGGATCCTGGATCAAGGCTGAAAAAGAGGCCGCTCGTGGAGTTTATCCAGCAAAAGCAATTGGCGGCAATCAGAAGGATGGAGAGAGAGAGAAAAAAATCACTGTAGGCTGTATTCTTAATCAGACACAGATAGGTTTAAGGAGCTAAAGAACCTGGTAAATTGTAGACAATGTTATGCATTCCTACACTTTTTGGAGCGATTCTCACAGGCCTATGGCCAAAAAGGTGTATGTCTTATGAAGAAAGATGAGCAAATGGGATTTTAGGTTAGTTTTTAGAAGAATTTCCTGAGTTCAGGTTATAGAGCATAAATCCATATGTTCTCAGAAGGGGCTACGGGGACATCAGGGGAAGCTCTTTTCTGCCCCTTTCCCTCTGAGCTTCTCCGAGCCTGTCCTGGGGCTGCTTTGAGGCCCCTGAGCGTTTTCAGGACATTGTCAGGCAATGTCTCAGCTCTGCCTCAGCCCTGGGAGCCTCCAGGGAGAACCAGGCACCAGGGCAGAAGGCAGGTGCGGTTGGGTGACAGCCTGGGGCGGGCGAGTGCTCAGGGTCCTAAGGCCTCAGACAGTCTCTAACTTTCAGGGAATCTCTCTGATGTTTCCTGCAGCATCAGCCAAAATAGTGAAAATTTGGCCGCAGTAAATGTTTAGCTCTGGCAGCAGGAGTTAATGAATCTGGGTGAATTCAGGATCTGAAAAGGCGATTGCTGCATCCACGTAGCCAAGTGATAAAAAGCTTATGAGATAATGTCGGGGGGAAAGGAAGGACACAAAACTGTGTGTTTCCTATGGTTACAGCCATATTAAATATGGATGTTTGCATGCAAGCCTGCGGGGGAAGCTCAGGCTTGCCAATGGCTCTTGCATCAGGGTGGCGGGCAGTTATATGTTACCTGCAGTTGCTGTGCTTGTGACTGTTCTGACCATTTTCTTCCTGTCAAAATGAGACAACTGAGGTTCAGAGTGATGAGATGGTCACCTAACGTTTTTTTTTTTTTTTAGAGTTCTTTCTTTCTTTATTTGTGTGTGTGTGTGTGTGTGTGTGTGTGTGAAAGGGGGAATCCAAGTTTTTCTCAAGCTTTCTGCAATGTTGCCATTTTGCCTTTGTAGTTACAAGTTCAGTTTTCCACACTTTCGGCCATGCTATTTTTCTGTTTAGTACTAACAATATGCATATCTTTAAATAACAAGTCCCCAACACCCACCACTACTAGTTGTGTGATGTGGACAAGTCACCATTCTGTGCTTCCATTTCCTCCTTTCTAAGCGGGGAAGATAGTAATACGGACCCCAGAGGAATAAAATGAGATCACAGAGTTAAATATACTTTGTAAGCCAGGGAGATGGTTCAGCCATCATTGAAGATTATCTAGTGGTTCTTCCCTTCCTTGGCACTCAGCATGCAGTGCCAGGCACAACCCACACACTTGCCTCTTCCAGGCCATCTATATATATAAAAGGCTAATATGATAAGTGTCCGATCGTGCAACCGGTAGCTATGACGTGCACTGACCACCAGGGGGCAGATGCTCAATATGTAGACATGGAAACATGGAACAGATTGATGACTCTCAGAGGGAAGGGGGTAAGGGGGAGGGCGGGAAGAGATTAACCAAAGATCTTATATGCATGCTAGAGGCCTGGTGCATGAATTTATGCACTGGTGGGGTCCCTCGGCCTGGTCTGTGGATCAGGCCGAATCCATGCACCGGGCCTCCAACATCCCCCAAGGGGTCCCGGATTGCGAGAGGGCGCAGGCCAGGCCAAGGGACTCCACCGCACTGGGCCTTTAGTTTGAAATAAACAAATAGGCTGGTCCAACACAAGCTGTGCCCAAGCATAAAGGACTATTAAGCGATCCTCAACTGGGACTAAGGGTGTTAGGTTTGGAGGCTGGAGCGGGGCACAGGGCTGGTCATCTCCAGCACAAATCCACTGGGTGATTGTGGGCAAGTTCCATCCTTCCCTTCATCTAGCTTTACCGTAAAGATGCCCTTCACACTGCCCACTGTGTGGTTTTAGAGTTATTTGAACAGTGTGGAGTCAGGTGCACAAAGGGGCATGAAAGGACTTCCGTAGTGTGGATTATAATCTTGGAAACAACCCAATTGCTCATCAGTTGCGTGCTGGTTAAACAAAACAAACAAAAACCATGGTGTTATTCAAACTGGGGAATACTGTGAGGCAAGTACAGAGAATAGAATTGTATATACAGACATGGAAAGATGTCCAAGACATAGATGTGGAGCAACTTGTGCTGCAGGAAATTATTTATTTCAACAACAGAAATAGACACAGAGCTACAAATGTCTCTATGGGGAGGCGCGGGGTCTCACCTCTTCCCACCTCCAGAGATGCCTTCTAGCTTCTGCTGCCGAGAGCTGGAAGAAGGGCAGGCTCAAGGAGCCTGCTCAGAGCAGGGATATTCATTCCCCTTTGAGAATTCCTAGCCTTCCTGCACGCAGGATGGAAAACCTGGTATGGACTTCTGGGACCTGGATGCTCCCCACTCAACTGGCCCACTGGGTGGGTGTGGCCTAAGGCAGGGCCCCTCCTCTCCTTTGTCAGGCAAGGGCGTGGTGCAATGCTTCCTAAGTCTTTCCCAGCTCTAGTTGTTCTGCTTTAGTGCCCTGGCTCTAGCTGGCTGATCAGGTATGCCTGTGATCATGTCAGAGAAGGTCATCAGGATGATCATGGGGTGATATGTCAAGAAATTAACCCTTTCAGTAACTCCAATCAGTAGTGGGCTGGTTAAAAACAAACAAAAACAAAAGCCATGGTATTATCCCTACTATGGAATACTGTGCAACAAATACGGAGAATGAAGTAGGGCCAGCTGTGCTGACTTAGAAAG